CTCCTTCGTTGACCACTCTTCCTTGTTCCACCACCACTTCCTGGGCTCTGAGCATCCTTCCTTTGGAACTTCCCAAGCTGGTTCCTCCCACCATTCCTCTGTGTCCAACCAGCCCATGACATGTGGCATTGGTGCCAATTTCCAGTGAAATCTCACCTAAACCCACCACCCCACAAGAGATGCTTTTATGGGGGCTTCTCAACACAGCAGGGCAATGGTAGGGAGAGACTTCCTATTTAGCCTCAGGTGGCAAAACAGGATGTGCTGTCCCTGCTTGAGACTAGCCAGTCATTTCCTGGGTCCAAAGAAGACCTCTTTAAAAACAGCCATAATGTGACCCACTTAAGAGGATCAGGGCAGGAATGCCAGTTCTTTGGAGAAAATCCATGTAATTGGCTGACAACATGTGGTTGGATCATTCAATTCTACCTGCATTGGGGTGTAAAATTGCCCCTGGTTACATTGCAGGATTAGGTCAGTGAGGAAATCTCACCATTATTTGTGTGCAAATGAGATTTCTCAAAATCTTGCTTTGCCTTCCTAAATAATTTTTTAAAAAGAGATATGTGCTAAAGCACCTGTATGGACATGCCACAGAGGAGAGGGGCGGTGCGTCTTAAGATACAGGTAGAAATTAGGGCTGGGGGAGGAAACAATGTTTATGTTCCGTTGTGAAAGATCTTCAAATTTCATCTCTTTGCTGCCCTCTAGTGATTTGACTTTTTGATCGGTTTCTGTATTTCACAATCTTTTGAGATGGGTTTTCTGAGATAGCTGGTGGTACGTTTCACTCTTAACAATAAAAGGGGGGGGATTACCTACCCCAGGAGGAGGCCATCTCCCCTATAGCTGATCTTAGCAGGCCTCCTAATTCGAAGAACAGTGGGACAGCCCAAAACAGTAGCTCATACAACAAGCAGCCTCATGAAGACAGGTAATTCTGCTGCTTCTTAATATCAGGAGTAATGAATGAGCCGACACATCAGATGCAGCGACACACCTGAATTTACCTGTCTCCACTGCAGGCTGATTGGAAGAAGGCAAGGCAAGGAGTAAATCAGGCAAGGATGCTGTATCCTGAGATGCGGGTGGGTACGTGAGGCTTACCGAAGCGTTTGATACAATTTGTTAATTCACATATTCCATGTAGCATATTAGACTCACTGCTTTCTATAGTGCTCGCATGAAGAAAAAAAGAGAAACTACTGTATTGTTATATGAACTTTTAGCAAGTCTCAAACAATGGCGGCCGGGAGCAACTGATGTGTTTGACTACAAAGGGGATTTCAAATCTATAAGTAGATATCGTGGAGTTACAAAGTTCAGTACTTTGCAAGCAATAGTATCTTCCACTGAAACCACTGGGACTTCATTTCTGCTGAAGCATGCGCTATGTTTTTGTGTCCTCAGTAAAAAAATAAACTCCTTGCTGGCTGTTTGATTACAAAGCTTGAAATGCATATAATAGATTTCATGCATTGTTATGTTCATAGCTTTAATTGCTTTTAGCAGCATCACATCTTATTTGTATAATAACTTTCCCCATGCAGTGTCCTGTCCATGCATTAACCTGTGTCTTGTAAAACAAGCTGCTTACATTTGATTCCTCTTATGCAAACGAGGATTTTCAAACACAAAATAGTTTATAGCTTTGTTTTCCTTTCTCTCTGGATAAAATGAAAGCATGCCTCCAGTTATATGGCGACACATCGCTACTTGTCAGTGGGTGCATGCAGACACATGGTCTACTCAGCTTCCTTCTCTCCTTTGGCTATGAGAGGAGACTGGTTGATTGGGAGCCTATACATATTCAGTAAACAAGTAAATTCACAAAAACAAGTAAAAATGAATGAAAAGGTGTTATGTACTGAGCTGAATCCTAGAACAATAGGATTCAGAATGCTGCAGTCTGATTGGTCCGCAGGGGCCACCCAATCCAACTCCAGTGAATCAGCGACCTGATTGGCCTGCAGCAGCCAATCAGGCTTCTGGAGGAGGTGAATCCGCAACCTGATTGACCTACAGGAGCAGCCCGGAATTAGCCAATCATGCGGGGCCCATTGTGTATATAATATATATATAGCTAGACATTTTGGGGGACGTTTCATTCATTGCTACTATGAGCTGAATAACGAGCATGAAATTCACACTCGACTCTGAGTATTTCAAAAGTGCTTTGAATTCCACAGATTCATAGAATTGGAGGGGGCTTTGCAAGTCATTTCATCTGTTTTCCTGCCCCGTGAAGCCAGAGCATTCCCAACAGATACCTCTATACAAGGGAGAGACACAAAAGTTGTTGAGCTATTGGGGGCGGGGGGAGGCAAAGTTGCCACACGCCAGGGTTTTCCCGGGCATTTTACCAATTTTTGGAAATTCCGACCAGATGCTGTTTCCAGCAGACAAATCCCAGATATTTCCAGGAAATTCTGGACGTATGGCAGCCCTAAAAGTGGTCAATTACTATCAAGACATTTCTCTTTCTGTAACTGAAGTCCATTAAATCGAGTTCTGCTTGGAGAGGAGCATTCCCATAATTTAGTAAATTACACGCACACATACACCACACACACAGTTTGATGGTGTGTTTATAGTAGCGTCCTAATGCTACCTTGCCAATTACATGCCTCCACCAATTCATCAAGTAATTCACTGTTTGTTCTTTTTACAGCATCAGTCAATCATAACCCCGTCGAATACTCAAGCTGACTTACAACCAAGCAGCCTAATGATTGTAATGTCACAATTAAGCTTGAGTTAATTAATCTCCCAATTAAGCTGATGATAGTTTGCAGCCCCAATTTATAGAGGGGCTTGAAAAGACATGGCCCCACCCCAAAGGATGGGGATATTCATAATGAATTTGCTGGATCATAAAACTGTTCATCTTTTCCCTCTTTGTTAGATCAATATTTATTTCGCGGTTAATAAAAGTCTTTGTAATATTGCACAAAGAATCATGGCAGCTATAGAGCACACCAGGGAGAAAGTGCTGAGCTTCCCAAATAGTTTTTTTTGTGTGTGTGTGACATCCAAATGTTTTAGGAGTGATTATATACCTTCCTATTTTAATACAGATAATGTTATAATTCTTGAAAATATTAAACCATCTGGCATTGTTTAGATGTAAGGATTCAACTTTTTCTAGTTTTTCAAAAGTGCCTCAAACACTAGACAAATTCAAATGAAACCCTTTTCCTGTCTTGGACAAGGAGTTAATCCTATTGAACGCAATGCAGCTTTCTTTTGAGTAGACATGTTGAGGGTTGCAGTATATCCCACTTAGACTGCAACACGGGGAAATATTTTTTCCCCTATTATGTTTTTACTGTAATTTTACTGGTGTTAGCTGCCCTGAGCCCATCTCTTGCCAGGAAGGGAGGGGTAATAATAATAATAATAATAATAATAATAATAATAATAATTTGCTTGCTTCTCTGGGACAATCACACACATATCATTACAGTGGCTTGGATCCTAAGAAAAATTAACTTAAGGTTTACAGGAAGGAATGTTTACTGCCCCCTCCTTCTGGTTGGAGAGCCAAATTTGCTGGGAGATAGGGCTGCCCACCTGTCAATCACCTGGTGTCACTTTGACATCAGCTGATGATTTGAAACCCTGGTTTTCATGTCCTGAAAGCTCATTGTGGCTCTGTTTAAAAGCCCCTTGAGCAACAGCCCCACACTGCTCTTTAAATCTCCAAATCCCAGAGGTTCGAAGAACAGAACAGGGCTGTTTGCCAAAGGGCTTTTAAACAGCCCCATCTTGGAGCATCCAGTTTTGGGAGGTTCTGTCTCCACTTTAACAGCAGTTTCAGTGGAGACCACTTCTCCCTCCTGGGCCAAGGCATAGTCTCTCCACCCATCAGCTGCTCCAGCAAGCAAATAATCAGGAGATCACTTTAAGTGCTCAAGTGTTGATTTGAAGCCCCTGCTTACCTGCCCCAGGTACAATGGGTGGGCATGGCTTGCCCAAGACTGCCTTGCAGGAGAAATGGGGAGGCCCTGCACTACACCCTATCCAAGTTGTTCAGGAGACTTTTTAGGGGCACAGGTGGCTGCAGGGGAAATGTGAAGACAGGGAAATTTCCTTCCACAAACCTCCTTAGGGTTGCAATCCTATGTCCACTTACTTGGGAGCACAGACAATCCAAGCAGCTGATTCTGTCCTGCTTCAGTCTTGTTCGCACTCAATCAAAGGTCTGTTCCACCCCATATTGTGTAGATATTTTAAAAGAACACACCCAAAACCCACGTTTAAAATTCTACTCATTTTTGCACATTTTCTATGCACTTTTTTACTGTAAAATATGTAGTTTTCAACGCTTTCCCCCCATAAAATGCACACTTTTAATGCAACTTTACATAAAAATCAATTGTTTGCCCTTTTATGCACCAAAACTGTGCTGCAAAATCCAGAGACTTGTGTGATTCTATGGGAAGTTGCATTCCGATCCACAAAAAAAGTTTAGGAACATTGGATCAGGTTGGTCTGCTGCAAAAATTCAGATCAAGCACCTTCTTCCCTTAGCCTGGGACTAGCCTGGGACTTTTGCACAGACACGTATAGGATCGTGCTGCAAGTTCTGTTTATTAGGATCTAAGTCCATATCAACATATTCATGTCAAACTGGCATTGTGAGGGGATTGAAAGGGGAATGGATCACTCAGAAGTCCCCCCCCAAAAAAAAATTGTGCCAATGTGGACATCTACACATTTCACCAGGCCATCTGAAATGGTTTCAGCTGAAAAACAATGGGCAATGACTTGTTGTGTTGATCACCTCTATCACATTAATAGTTTTGTGACACTGTCAAACATTTCAGCAAGCCAATGGTGTTTTTGGTATCTTTTAATCTCTCCATATGATACAGCTAATTCATGTAAGGAAGTTTTTATCTTGCTCAATATTGTCGGTGCCTAGCCTCCTATGCATGTTGCTTCGGAGGCAAAAAGGCATAGGGCAATTGATTTTTAATTCCTCTGATGTGATAGACTCATTGCAATTTGACTCTTAGGACGGAAGTCTCAGGCATTAAAAAGATTAAAGAAGTCAAATTTATCACAACTACTATTCCAGATGGGAGTAAAGTGGCAGAATCTCCTGGTTGGCTGCCCGTAGTCTTCATTCCCCTGCAATCAGCGCCTTCAAACCCTTGGTAACAATGGCAGGCGAATTTCTCTGCCATTATTCGAAGGTCAACAGGCGATGCTTCCCCTCTCACAGTAAAGCCCAGGCCGCCTGACGCTTCTATTTGGAAGTTCTGAGGATTTAAATGGAGGTAATCTAAGGCTTTCCAGTTCCTTCGAACACACCTCCCGTTGTTGTGACAAAGATGCCAGCTGCACACCTCGGCCGCTTTGGTTACGTTGATGATGTAGAAGCCCAACTCAGAAGCAACAAATTGTTTCACCTTTGTGCAGTTGACCTTGATGGAGCAAGAAGAAAAATAAGAGGTTGCAAATTGTGTGAAGGCATGCCCTTCTCAATTAACATCACTTCAGCATAGTATAAAGGTAGAGGTAAAGGGACCCCTGACCATTAGGTCCAGTTGTGACCGACTCTGGGGTTGAGGCGCTCATCTCGCTTTATTGGCTGAGGGAGCCGGCATACAGCTTCCAGGTCATGTGGCCAGCATGACTAAGCCACTTCTGGCGAACCAGAGCAGCGCACGGAAATGCCGTTTACCTTCCCGCTGGAGCAGTACCTATTTATCTACTTGCACTTTGACGTGCTTTCGAACTGCTAGGTTGGCAGGAGCAGGGACCGAGCAACGGTGCTCACCCCGTCGCGGGGATTCGAACCGCCCACCTTCTGATTGGCAAGCCCTGGGCTCAGTGGTTTAACCCACAGCGCCAGCCTCAGCATAGTATAATGGTGCCTATATTGCATGACACCTCAAAAGTCCATGAGTTCCGTAGAAACGTTACGATTTCTAACAATGCCTTTCCAGATGAATTTGTTTCTCCTGCCAATCAGATGCTCTTACATAAGGAAGAGCTAGTGTCCTGATTCCTTAGCCGCTGAGGAGAAAAAATGATTTTGGCAGGCAAGGCTTGGCATTAAAGGGTGAGGAAAGCTGCAGCTACTGAAATTTCCTGTTCTAGGCAATTTTGAAGATACAGAACATGGAAGTCTAGTTCTGTTCATTGTGAACATTATGAAAACTGCAGAATAAAACACAGTGGAGGGTGGGTGAGGATGGGACATAAAAGGAAAGTATGATTTCTCTTAAGACAAAGATTACAACTGATTTGGTTTGATTATGTCATAGGTGTCTTGCGGTTCAGTGCTGTTCAATACTTAAGGTTTTGTTTTTTACTATCTCGTTTTGTGTTGTTGTTGTTTACTTTTTGTACCACTGCAACACTACTGAATGACAAGCTATTTAAATTTTCTCATCTATTCAGGTATAAAAACTATAGGAGATTTATGCTATACAGTGGTACCTCGGGTTAAGAACTTAATTCATTCTGGAGGTCTGTTCTCATCCTGAAGCAAAGTTCTTAACCCAAGGTACTATTTCTGGGTTAGCGGAGTCTGTAACCTGAAGCGTCTGTAACCCGAGGTATCACTGTAAGCTCAGGTCTTATGATTTTGAGCCTTAGAATTGGCAGTGGGACCCTATTGGTGGGGCCACCACTATTTGCTGACCAGATGGCATTGATCACTGGTGCCAACTATAGTAAGGTTACCAGACTTCCCTGTTTCCTGGGGACAGTCCCGGATTTACAAATCAGTCCCTGACAAAATCCATCCCCTTCAACTGAAGTTGAAAAGTGTCTCTGGATTCATTGGAAAAAATCTGGTAACCTTAAACTATAGGGGGTCCTTGGGACACAAGCCTCCACAAAAAAATTGTTGTGGGTGCTCAGCACCCACACTAAAGGTAAAGTGACCCTTGACCATTAGGTCCAGTCATGACTGACTCTGGGGTTGCGGCGCTCATCTCGCTTTATTGGCCGAGGGAGCCGGTGTACAGCTTCCGGGTCATGTGGCCAGCATGACTAAGCCGCTTCTGGTGAACCAGAGCAGCGCACAGAAACACCGTTTGCCTTCCTGCTGGAGTGGTACCTATTTATCTACTTGCACTTTGATGTGCTTTTGAACTGCTAGGTTGGCAGGAGCAGGGACCGGGCAACGGGAGCTCACCCCGTTGCGGGGATTCGAATCACCGACCTTCAAATCGGCAAGTTTTGAACGTCCAATGCGGTCGTTCGTTATTGTTTCTGGGGTGCCTGCACCAATCAGAAGGTGTGCCTTGGTTTTTGAACATTTTGGAAGTCAAATGGACTTCCAGAATGGATTAAGTTTGGCGCTTTTGTTTTTGCTATTTATTTTGCATTTTTGTTTTTGAGGCTTTTTCGGTTAATTTGTTTTTGTGACTGTGTGGAACCCAGTTCAGCTACTGATTGATTGATTGATTGATTGTGTGACTGTGGAAATGGATAAAAGCCCCCCATCCAAACAATGACTATCATTAGTGCAGGGAAGAAAAAAAATAAAATTTTCATTTTCATAATCTACAATACTGTCTTATTTATTTTATTGTGCAGTACATTGATTATTGCTTTCATTTTATGGATCAATGGTCTCATTAGATAGTAAAATTCATGTTAAATTGCTGTTTTAGGGGTTGTTTTTAAAAGTCTGGAACGGATTAATTCATTTTGCAGTACTTTCTATTGGAAAGTGCACTTTGGTTTTGGAACACTTTGGTTTTGGAACGGACTTCTGGAATAGGTTAAGTTTGAGAACCAAGGTACCACTGTATTGCAGATGACCTGCCTTGTTGACTATAATAAGAAAGTCATTTTCTCTTACTTCAAGTATCTGTCCATCTGGGCAAAAAGACATATCAATTCGTAAACAGAAACAGTTATTCAAAACTTAGTTCCAGCTCCTAGACTCAGCCACTCTCTCCTTCCTATTGGTGACCCATGAACACATCCTAGCAGCAGCCAAGGAGAAATTCCATATGCTATTGACCAGCTAGCTATGGCTGAGTTGTCAGATAAACTGAACCTCAAAAGATAAATGAAATAAAATAAAATGGCATACAATAGAAATTCTGTCTACTAGATTAAATAATATCCTTAAGGAAGAATCAAGGCATGGGTTTACCTCAGATGACGTTAAATTCATGTCTCCCCAAATAACAATTCCCGCAGCTCCTAAGGCAGCGCTTTCTCCAATGGTGCTAACAAGATCTTGCTATATTGGAAACAGAAGGAAACATCATCAGTGTCTATTACTGTTTATTCGCAACAAATTTTGCTAAAGATGGGGAAACAGGTAGTTAAAAAACTGATAAATGGGCCATGTGGACAAGGGGCTACTCTTCAAGGAACTAGTCTGCAGCCTAGTAGTAGGTTTACTTGTCTCTTTCAAAAATCAAAGAAAATAATAATCCAAGTATTATGAGCTAACGCATAGGCCTTCTTTTTTAGAATTGTAAAACTGGAATAATGACTTAGTTGGATGCCCCCTTGTATTTCTGTACTCTGGGGTCACATTTCCCATAATGCAGCAGGAGGCCTGTTGTTGTATTGGAAGGTCTTGGGGCGAACTGCAACACTCAAAATCTTCACTCCTTCCTGGAATTACCTTAAATATAGCAAACAAAGGCCTATAATAGACTCTTCTCATCTATTACCCCAGTGTAGTGAAAACCCCGGTTTAAAAATCAATTTGTAACAGTCTAAATACTCTGGAGAAGAGTGCAAAATGAAGTTTGTTAACACAGCCAACTCAAATAAATGATTATATGCCCAAGTCTAATGCACTAAGCCTTTCTGTGAAATGTGAAATAATGCTTAGCATTTATATATTGTTTTTTTCCTGAACATATAAAGCAGTTCGCAGACATTATCTAAAGGTGTTTTTTTCCGTTTGTTTGTTCTACAAAAGCCAAAATTATTATTATACCCCTATTAAAGATGCATGGCTATGGTGGAAAAATAATTTGTTGCTTAAGTCCATCTCTTGAGTTCTTGGCCGAGGTAAAATGTGAAGAAGGTTTTCCTAGTTCAGGACTCATTATACTAAACAGGTAAAGGACCCCTGGATGGTTAAGTCCAGTCAAAGGCGACTATGGGGTTGCACCACTGAGCCTCTTGGGCTTGCCGATTGGAAGGTCAGCGGTTCGAATCCCTGTAATGGAGTGAGCTCCCGTTGCTCTGCCCAAGCTCCTGCCAATCTAGCAGTCCGAAAGCACGCCAGCGAAAGTAGATAAATAGGTACCACTGCAGCGGGAAGGTAAACAGTGTTTCCGTGCGCTCTGGTTCCCGTCACGGTGTTCCATTGCACCAGAAGCGGTTTAGTCATGCTGGCCACATGACCCGGAAAGCTGTCTGCGGACAAATGCCGGCTTCCTCGGCCTGAAAGCGAGATGAGTGCTGCAACCCCATAGTCACTTTTGACTGGATTTTGACTGGTAAAGGGGTCCTTTACCTTTTTATTTTACCTTATGCTAAACCTAGTATAAGGTCTAACATAGCAGTTGCTACTTTCCCTCCAAATAGCTTACCTTGGAAAGAAATAGCAAAGGTTCGTCCCTATAGTCTAGTCGGGTATATACAAATACTGGGAGAGCATAACCATGTGATGTCATCATGGAAATCCTCATAGATTCGTTCACCCTAAACTGTGAAAAGCGTAAGATATTTTCACTGTTTCCAAGGCATTTCTTAATGCCAATGGAAGGATACAGGGCTGCGCTGCTGTTCCACAGCCATGACAGTTCATTGTTCCTCAAAACCTCATTTTCTGGACAGGAGCCACTATAGTTCTGGTCATGGAAATTGTAATTGTGGCAGTCAGGATACAAGTAGTATCCCCACAGACCCTTGGGCCTACTTTTAATCCCCAGCTCAATTGTCTCTTTCATGAAAGCCTTAGCACATTGCTCAAAGGAAAGCTTAGCTAGACGCTCAACGGCGTTTGCCGAAACATTTTCGTGCATTTCAGAAATTAGTTTTCTCGACTGCCTCCTGTAAATATCCTTTGTATTCCAGTTGCGGTCCCATTGCGGCCTCCAGTGTTCCCAGTCTATGACTGCTAGCCCAGTGAAATCTTTATCAGGAATGTAGTAGTCAATGTCTTGGAGAGCTTTTTCCAGATGCATTTGCAAGCTGAAATTCTGAGGGAGGCCGCCATTGACAGGGATTTCCTGTGGAGTGTACCATGGATAATATCCTAGCCTGTTGACATAAAATATCGTCACGTTCTGCCCTCTCGCTTTGGCAAATGGGCTTCCAGTTACATGGAACATTTCCAGGTTAATTGTTACGTTGTATCGGATGGAGCAATGATCCATCGGCGCATTCCAGGCCGCCACAAAAGGCTTCCTTCGGAAAACAGGGAGCTGAGCTGGCTTCATGGTGAAAGTAGAACTCCACACAAATGTCATATGTATCCAAGTTGTGAAGTGGACCTGCTGGATAATAGATAGCAATATTTGGGGTTTCAATATGGCTGCCGTTATAGGAAAATATTTGCAAGTACATCTCCCAACTTTACCAAGTGCAAAGGAAAATAAAATGAGAATTAACAATAACAATAAAGAACTACAAAAACTATCTAAAGCTGAATATAACACCTAAGCCAGAGGTGATCTTTGGCTCCCACAGTTTCAGAAACTTTCAGAGAGTATCCTGGCTGATTTGATTGACATCCTATGCTCTTTTAAAATGTGATGGTTTTTCGGGGAGTGTTATTGGGTTGTTTTTATTTTGATTATATATTTTGTGGTTTTATATTCTGATTTTGTTCTGTGAACGGCCTTGAGACCTCCAGGTATACAGTGGTACCTCGCAAGACGAATGCCTCGCAAGACAAAAAACTCGCTAGACGAAAGGGTTTTTTGTTTTTTGAGCTGCTTCGCAAGACGATTTTCCCTATGGGCTTGCTTCGCAAGACGGAAACGTCTTGCAAGTTTGTTTCCTTTTTCTTAACACCGTTAATACAGTTGCGACTTGACTTCAAGGAGCAACTCATAGAACGCGGTGTGGTAGCCTTTTTTGAGGTTTTTAAAGACTTTGGTGATTTTTGAAGCTTTTCCAAAACTTTCCTGACACCGTGCTTCGCAAGATGAAAAAAATCGCAAGACGACAAAACTCGCGGAACGAATTAATTTCGTCTTGCGAGGCACCACTGTAGAACGGTACATAAATTCAATTAATAATAATAATAATTTTACAAAGAAAAAGGGGCCATTGGCATACCCTCCAACATTTCTCTGATGAAAATAGAGACCTCCCCTCCAATATTTCTCCAATGAAAATAGGGATGTCCTAAGGAAAAATGGGACATTCCAGGATCAAATCAGAAACCAGGATGGCTTCTGTAAACCTGGGACTGTCCCTGGAAAACAGAATACCCTCCAACATTTATCTGAGGGAAATAGGGATGTCCTATTCTGTTGTTGTTGTTGTTTTACCCTGTCCATCTGACCGGGTTGCCCCAGCCACTCTGGGCAGCTTCCAACATATATGAAAACATAAATGTTTTTAAAACACAAATAAACAAAATTATTTCTGCCGTGATAACTAGGCACAGGTCTGAGCAAGGTTTTTTTTGGGGGGGGGTTGACCTGCCGCTTTCCCTGGGAAAACCCACTGTTTACCACGGAACTGGTGTCAACCTGCAGAAAACCCAATTGACTATTGTTCCAGTTCAGCGGTAAAAAGCAGGTTTCCCCAGTGAAGGTGGTAGGACAAAACAAAAAACCCAAACCCTGCTTGAACCCATGCCTGAAAGTCACAAATCCGGGCCTAGAAATTGCGGCACTTTACTCCACACGAAGTTGTAGCTGTTCAGTTTTGCCACTGGATGTCACTGCCAGTCTATTTCATGGGCCATTTAAATAAAACAAAGCTATTTAAGGACAAGTGTTTGGACTTAGATGAATGGGTTTCTGTTAATTTGGGTTCTTACTAAACAGTAATAACATACCAAAGTGGCACGGGAATGCCTCTGTTTAAAAATATATGGCTTTTTTAACACTGGGTTTTGAAACAGAAAACAAACATTTTCAGAACTGCCCCTGGCGAACGACTATGACCTCTGCTGTTATGTCAGGGTGGAGTAGCTACAAGCAAGCATAACATCATCTGAGCTTTATAAATAGATCAAATTTTTTACCCAGCTGTCAAGAGGAATTGATCTACAACACCCAAAGGAAAATGTAATAATTTAAAGCGATGTCATTTGCCATCTGTGGGATCATAGTGCAACCTTCCTCCCATTATAAGCTCATAGTCAACTCCATATCTTCTGCTTTTTGCTCCGACTGCTATCAACCCCCTTACATCCATTTCCCCAGATTTCATCACAGGTGATCGATTGCACGGGATAAACTGTAGCTAACTGCAGAGATTTGCTTTGGTCATCCATGGCACTAGGAGGTAATGAATTCTGCTTTGATAGAATAGCGGCTATAAGATCTCCTAGATCAAATCCAGCAAGAAAAATATACTTTTAAAAGGTGGAGGAGTTCTGAGGAGTTCCTGGGACTGTTGAGTGCTGCCTCCTTTCATAGTGTTTTTTTCCTCCTGCTCCAACACATTCTTTTCAAACACTGACCTGCCATCCCCCCCCCCCTTTTACGCTGGGCTACATTAATATTACTTCCTCTTGCTAAGACAAATGTTCTTGCAACTACTTCTAGCTGTGAATAATGCATAGCGATGCCGTGAGCTTTCTGCACATGCAATGAAGTGATGAGCAGATAACGACAAAATGCCCTAATGGCATAGCACTGCAGTGAATGTCTTGCACCTTGAGGCTCGAGCACAACAGGGAGAAGTTACTCACCTCGAGGTTATGCAGTGAACAACTGATGACTGATAATAGGAAGCCACATTCTTTCAGGCAATGAACAGGAACATTTGGATAGGAAAACAAAACAGCACATGATGATTTAGGCAAGATCCTTTGTTGTGCTCATAGGTAAAGGTGAAGGTAAAGGGGCCCCTGACCATTAGGTCCAGTCGTGGCCGACTATTTATCTACTTGCACTTTGATGTGCTTTCGAACCGCTAGGTTGGCAGGAGCAGGGACCGAGCAACGGGAGCTCACCCCATCGCGGGGATTCGAACCGCCAACCTTCTGATCGGCAAGTCCTAGGCTCTGTGGTTTAACCCACAGCGCCACCCGTGTCCCTAATTGGCAGTGATAGGGAATCTCAATTTAATGTGGCTGCTGATTTAATTTCTGCTACTACATACAGTAAAAGAGAGTGTCAGTAAATTGTGCAGTTTTGCATGTGTGTGTGTGTGTGTGTGTGTGTGTGTGTTTGGTCTTTTCCATGTTAATGGAAACTGGAATACAGCTGAAACTAAGAAGTGTTTTCCAAATTCAATGTGGCTTAGAGGTTAATCTAAGTGACAGGAGGAACTAAGCAGAACAAAGACTAATCTTCTGCTTAGGAGAGAGGTCTCTAAGGGAATAAGGAATAAGGAATAAGGGCAGAGAGACATTCCAGAGTGTAATAAACAGAAAAGGGGGGGTGAACTACAATTAAAAGTACAGATCAAGAAGGAAATAATAACTGTGTGTGTTAGGTGGGCCTATACTAGCCAAGAAAAACATTGCTAAAGAAGTAGGAGTTCAATAGAAATTAAAGCTACCTATGCATACTTACTTGGGAGAAAGTCCCATTGAGCTCAGTACTTCTGAGTAAACCAAAAACACAGCTAACCTTTGAGATTTGCATTTCTATGAATTTTGCAATGCAGTTCCCCAGCCAAGTAATGTGAACAAATGGGGTAAAATGTGCGTGCATATAAATCCATAGGTGTGTGAAAAGAACATGTACAAACACATTATATTAGGGGAAATTGCTTTGCAAAAATGTGTAGATTTGTCAAAACTGTGTACCTCAATGTTTTTATCAGAAATTCGTACTAAAATGCCGACGAGTTTTCATAAAGGTTTTGATTTTTTAAAATTGTCAATTGCTACCAAAAGGTGAAAAACTGTCTATGGGGGGGGGGGGGTGAAAACTGGATTCAAGATGAGAAAAAAGGGAAATTCTCAAAGTGAAATTGGCAGATTCTACCATCCCCCATGGTGACTGAGTCAGACGGCATTCCCTGCAGCTGAGGAGCTACTGATAGAAAACCTCAGCTGCAAATGTGCATAATTTAGGGTTGTCATATTTCAAAAAGTAAAAATTGAAGTTTTTAAGCTTATTTTTTAAGGAAATTCGCCAAAAAAACCAACAACCCACTTCTGGTTTCCCCAGACATTTTAACCGACTTCTGAAAATTCCACCCAGATGCTGTTTTTCGTGGACAAAAGCTGGCAATATCCGGAAAATTCCAGACATATGGCAGGCGTAGCATAAGTGCTTGCAAGGGGGACTTTGAATGCAATTGCCAAGTACCAAATGACCTTGCAGTGAAAATGGCACATGTATTATGCTGTTAACAGGAAATTTAAAAAGTACTGTTGCCACTTTAAATATAAAAAAGCAATTCCTGAATCTTATGCAAAAGGTATTGCCGTTTCTTGAAATATAGAGAGGTAATGTCTTGATCTTGTGCAATGAAAATATAAAGAGGTAATGACTTCATCTTATGCAATAAAGGCAAACACTCTTCCCTGAAGCCCATAGAAAGTAACTCAGTACAGATGGATAACAGCTTCATTCAGATGTACATTCAAACAGGCATCTAATGCACATCTAGTTTCTGCCTATGGATCTGAATCCAGCAGATGTTCTATGCATGGAATCCTTATTGCATCCTTATCTTGATTGGAGCGACCGTGTTTTATAGAAGCTTAGGTTGGTATGGTTGTTGCTTTTTCCCGAAGCCCCAAATTGTTTCCAGACTCTCATTCTCTGTATGCAAAACTATCATTTCCAATTTATTTTTAGCACAACCTGTATTTGCAAACACTCCCACTCTCTGAACCTGGCACAGATTGACAGGAAATGACTTTTCCTGTAATGTAAAGAGAAATGTGTTCCCTACATAAAAGCTGTATCTGATTTCCTAACGAATTGTGTTCTGCAAGTGTCTCATTAAAAAAAATATGTTTAGAGTGCGATTGCTAATACAGTACGTGTAACCCTTTGGGAAGGTATCATTTTCAATCAGTTTCAGGTGCTGAGTCTTTTTATAAGGTACAGCCGTACCTTGGTTGTCGAACGGAATCCGTTCCAGAAGTCCGTTCGACTTCCAAAAACGTTCAACAACCAAGGCACGGCTTCTGATTGGCTGCAGAAGCTTCTTATATGCAATCGGGAGTTGTGTTAGACATTTGGCTTCCAAAGAACATTCGCAAAACGGAACACTCACTTCCAGGTTTGCGGCATTCGGGAGCCAAAATGTTCGACTCGGAAGGCGTTCGGGATCCAAGGTACCACTGTATTACTTTCTCATAGTAGAAACTGTGAACTTAGTAACCTGGGAGCAGACTCCAATGAACTCACTGGGACTTGCTTCTGAATGGACATGTATAGAATTGTACAATTAGCCAGTACAGTGGTACCTCAGGTTAAGAACTTAATTCCTTCTGGAGGTCCGTTCTTAACCTGAAACTGTTCTTAACCTGAGGTACCACTTTAGCTAATGGGGCCAACCACTCCCGCCGTGCGATTTCTGTTTTCACCCTGAAGCAGAGTTCTTAACCCGAGGTACTATTTCTGGGTTAGCGGAGTCTGTAACCTGAAGCGTCTGTAACCCAAGGTACAACTGTATTCTAAACTAAGCTACTTTTTGGAATATATTGTACTTGCACTGCAGAGATTTTGGCAATCAACTATAATTGTAGACAGTTTGTTATTTCTGTGAGGCAATGAACATGTACCCCTTATTGCCATGGGTGCCAACTTGAATAAAATATGGGGGGGGCAGGTAAACCCCACCCCACATCATCAATCACATTATGTGTACATTTTAATAGCAATGCCCATTAACTTGGGGTAGGGTGGTTCTCAAATATTCTATTGGGGAGGTGAAGGAACCTCAGCCCCTAGGAGTTGGCTCCTATGCTTATTGAAATGATAGCCCCAGTTCACAGACCCTCCAACTCTCCATATCTTCCAGCGATAGTCCCTGATTTAAAGATGCTGTCCTAGTTTCTGAATTGATCCCAGAATGTCCCACTTTTCCTTAGGGCATCTGTATTTTCACTGGAGAAATGTTCATTGGAGGGTTATGTGACCCCTGAACCAAGGAAATAAGTAACTATATAACCTTTAGAAGACATTTGAATAGAGAAATTTGTATAGAGAAATTTGTAAACATTTTATGTTTTTATAGGTGTTGGAAGCCACCCACTCAAAGGGGCAGGGTATAAATAATAAAATTATTATTATTGTCATTATTATTATTAAGTAGGACATCCTTATTTTCATCAGAGAAAAGGGTATAAATAATAAAATTATTATCATCATCATCATTATTATTATTAAATAGGACATCCTTATTTTGATCAGAGAAAAGGGTATAAATAATAAAATTATCATCATCATTATTATTAAGTAGGACATCCTTATTTTCATCGGAGAAATGTTGGAGTGTATGAGTTCAGTTTCAGTAACAAACTATTCATATGCATTGAATCAAGAAGGTAAACTTTGCTCAAGGCTAGACAATCGTGCTTCAGGAGGAAATGCAATATTCACATGCCTGGTTGAAAGTTGGTCTTCTGGTGCAATTGCTAGAATATTAGACCTGGAAATGGAGTCCTGGGATCAAATCTCCACTCAGCCATCAATTGCATTGAGCAGCCCTCAGCAAACCTACTTCAGCAGCCTATTCTATCCCATAGGGGTGTTATGAAGATAAAATGGAATTATCCCATGCAAGTTAGACTGAGCTGCTTTGAGGAAGAGCTTCATTAAAATGTGGCAAATTAAATAGCCCATTTAGCTGAATGTTTCCTTGTTGGCCATAGCAACACACGGTCAATTCTGGAAATCAGAATCACAGCTATCTTAAGGTTTGGGTAATTGGAATTCACATGGATTGTTAAGGGGGAGAAATCAGACAAACATCAGTCTTGATCTGAATATGTATTCTATATAGAATTTAGTTTCATTTGTGCTACTGCAGTATATTTATTTATTCCGTTCATACCCCACCTTTCCTCCCAGGAACTCAAGATGGCATCGATTGTTCTCCCCCTCCTCATTTATTCTCAACAACAACCTGTGAGGTACTGAGAGGCAGTGACTGGCCCATGGTCACCCATGGCTGAGTGGAGATTTGAATGCTGGTCTCCCAGGCCCCAGTCCAACAATCTATCGCCATCCCACCACATTGGCTCTCTAGGACTCCTGTATGTTTTAATTGGTTTTGCGTCCTTCTAAATCTAAACAGATGAAGCACATGCAAAATGGAATAAGAGCAAACATTGCGGAATGAACGGCATAATGATCA